TACTGAGCATCTTTCTCTTTGACACCATGTCTGATATCCCACGTGATCTGTCAAATACTAATGCATGAAAATCCTAACCTCAAAAAAATCACCCGATACAAAATGGCGGAGCTTTGAACAAAAAGTATCGACTTTGGTGTTTTTTCGACAGCTTTTTTGTAGAAAAAAATAGGAACTTTTCAAAAAACAAAAACCTTTAAGAGTGAAAATCGTTTTGAAAAATACCATTCTCAGAAAAACGCGTTTAAACATTAGAGTCTCTATGTTCCCCACTCCATTGCCTTTCTACATGAAACGCTGTTGTGACCGTAATATTTTGAACTATTATGCACAAAAAAATAGATTTTTCGAAAACTTCACACTGAGATAATCCCTTAAATATTTATCCGAGGCTGTTTTCTTCTTTTCATTGATAGTATTTTTTACTTGGCGGGAGTGTTTCGTTTTCTCACTTAAGCTCGTCTTCAAATGGATTTTTTCTGGCTACCCAGAGGATACTCGGCTTGAGCCATATGTAAAATAATCATTTCTGGCCACTCCCAAATGAATGGCAATCAGAGAACTTTCCTCACTTGCGTGAACTTCTACACATGGATAAATGAACAGCTGACTTATTAAAATATTGCCATGGGAGCTTATTTAACCCAAAGTGCCATTTTTTCACAATTATACAAGTATAAACGTCACATTGAATGAGTACTCTTATCTTGCTTTTAGGGCACACTTACCTTTTTCCAGGTGGTCGATTTGCTCGTTTGTAAAAGAAGTGCGATTGCGCTGCAGTTTCCGTTTAAGACGCAATCGCATCTGGGAGTCCTCATCTCCAGATGAATTGTGTTCTGAATTGCCGTCGGAAGTACTTTCATGAGAATTGGGATGTGACACTTCACCCGAGAATATATCTAAAAAACGAAATAACTTTTATTTATTGCTTTTCATTGCTATAAATACACTTAATTAAACTTACTCTTATATAAATGTAATAGAGTATATCTTAATTTGTCAAACATCAGAGAGTAATAAAATAAAAAAGTAAAACTTACAATTTGTGTAAAATAGAAGGGATGTTCTCCGATCTGGGGAACTTACAGCGGTTGGATCTAGTCTCAAAACCAAAAAAGTCACCTGAAGAACTTTGATAATACCGATCCTGTGAAACCGCTTTGAGTTATCAAGTCAAAAAATGTCTATTCCACATGGGCGAGAGCACTCAGAGTACCACATGGCTCGGTTTTATGCTACTACAATTTAAGAAAACAATAAGGATAAAGCAGGCAAAATCTATGCATACTGCTCTATCGCGAATAAATCGCCGGCGATTTTTAATATCAAAAGCTATACATTCTGTAATATTGTGTGCGGTGCCAACCTCAAATCAAGCACTAGATATAATAATACATCATATGTTAAACATATAAATACAGTTCATAGGCTTCAACTATACGAGTTACAATTGCTTTCAGAACCATATCTGGCTCGTTGCGGAAGTTCGAGGGAGTCTGCCGCCCATTGACGAATTCTCGCGATTTTACTAGCTATCAGAAAATCACATTGTGGGAGCAACAGTGGCGAACCCAAATCGAAGGACAGTGGACTCACATACATCGTTTTCCCTGTCTTGGACACACTGCATTCCTTGGTAAAACTGCACTATTTTTCTTAAAACGGTACATAGCTGTTGATGGTGGATGGACATACAATACGGGAACCTAGATTTCCACCTAACCCAACCTCTAAGTAGACATTGATTATATTAAAGATATCGATTCTAAATCCATCGTGACCGTAGTCGGTACTGTCCAACATGTGCAGAATACTTAGAAGACTCTGAACAATTTTTTACTGCCCTCGTTTCACACTTGGTGATAATTTTTCGACGAAAAATTTTACAGCACTTTTCTGCCAGTTCTTTGATAAGTGAAAAACTGTCAGCGAAGCGTTAATTGAAAATATGACAAAATTAAGGTATGTATATACAGCGGATTAGGCGTAAGTCTGACCGTACCATAGAGAAGACTTAAAGGAATTTTTCTCCCTTACGAACTAATACTTAATTCGGTGGTTCCGTGGGAAAAATATATGTTGCAAGTAAGTTAGGTTTAGCGGATTTAAGTTTCACACTCTGACTTACGATGCTTCCTCCCACTATAAAAAACAAGCATTCTATACAACTGCATGCAGACTTCCAAACAGGTGAATGACGAAGAATTGCTTTGAAATTTTATTCTATTAATTTAGTATTTTTAAAAGTTTACAGTTCGTTCAAAAATAGTATTTAACAAAGGCTAAGTGAAGTCAGGTGAAATCGAGCATTTCATACTTTTTCTACTTGTAAAGACCAAAGCCGGTGAAATATTTCGAGACGTTGTCAAACTGTATATAAAAAAATTTTGTGAAAAATATCAGCATTCTTTGTTCGACGAAACCGAGTTTTTTACAATTAATCTTATTTTATTTATTTATTTTTACATATTAAACTTCATTTTAATATAATATCACACATTTTGATCAACAAAGAGTTTAGTATAAGCTGGAAAGCGGATATCGCTATATAGTGGGTATTAGATCGGGGCTTGTTACATTAACCTTTAACATTACCCAGGTATGCTCGACCCATGTTTTTAAGCAATTTTATCTATACAGGTATGGTATACAAGTATAACTCACACACTGATCCATATGTTCGGCGTAAGGTTTGTTAGATTAACGAAAATCATTATACATAAATATGTAATTTCAAATATTTTCGGCGTTAAACTTTACTATATGTAGTATTATACGTTATAACTTTCATATCAGTCAATATTTTCGATAAAAAGTTTGCAATAGGTAGTGGGGGTTCACATATTCGGTATATAGGGGCTTGAAAAGTTTTGGTTCGATTTGGACAAATTTGGCTCAAGGTGGCACACTTCAAAGACATTATTCATGCAAAGTTTTATTCCGTTATATTCATTGGTGTTTGATATGTATACTGCAAAGTGAAAGAATCAGATGGAATTGAGAATTATGTTATACTCGTATGGGAAGTAGGAGTGGTTGCAGCCCAATTTCACACATTTTCTCATTGTAACATAAAAATATCAGAAGTCCCAAATCTGTCTGAAAAAGAGCCCGCAAGTCTCGAGATATGAGTTCTCACATAAAAGTGGGCGATGCTACGCACAACGTCTGATTTGAGAGCGGTTCCTATAAAGCCTTGTCGTATCATCTCCGGTGTAAAATTTAATTTAAAAAAACTATTAAAATTTTAACAAAACTGTTATATGGGGAGTGAGCTGGGTTAACATCCGTATTCATTTATTTTAGCCTTTGCAGTTTAGGATATACATATATGCACTAAACCTATTAGAAGTCTAATGTAATGACGATGTGAGTGCGGCGTACCTACACATATATATTAATATGCATATACTATATATTATGAAGAATGAAGAATGACATTATTTACAAGTATGCAATAGTTAATTTTAGTTTTCAATCATTTGGCAAGATAATGAGATTGCCAAATTGTTCACTATCATACGCTACACTGTTACACCGCGTTAAGCTTTTCTCTCTCACTTATCGCTATTTTAGCATCTTTCAATCTGTAATTGTGTGGAAAATGGCTTTCAGACAAATTTGATGGACATTTGTGTATTATTTGAATTAATTTTTCAATTTATTAGATCGAATATGTTGTTAGCAGTCGGAAAGATGTCATTAGTCCAATATGTTTGCTGCGTGCACTACCGAATTACGAGGGTTATTTGATACTCAGTTGCAGCAATGCTTTAGTGCGTGTGGGTACAAACTTATTTCGCATAAACTATACATGTAATGATGTAGAAATTCGATTTCTGTTATAATTTCAACTACAGATATTTGTAGACTCGATTCGAAAACGTTGCTATTTATAGTATAAGCGACAAAATAAGCTAATTTATTTACATATACAGTATTTATGTAGATGATCGATAAGTAGCCAATTACTGAGCTAAAACAAGCAGTGATCACATGCTGTACAAAAAGCACACAATTTTTGTATGCAATAATATGAAATGCAATTATGCCTTCTGGTATATTGCTTCTTAGTATGGCAAAATTTGGAAAATAACAAGGGCAAACGTTTACTTTGGCATTTAGCATCACGGATCGATCAGTTTAATGGCAGTAATAAAGATTATTTTAATTAACAGAGATGAAACATACTTTTGCTTGAATCTTCAATTGCAAATGCAAATGCAAAGCGTAGTGTTACCAATAATTCGTCTTTAATAGAATTATAACCTTTGTGCAGAAATCGCACCTAAACTTTTAATTGTAACTACCAATGTCTTTGGGATATTCGAATTACTTTTCCCTTCATTTAAATAAATACATGAATTCTTCTTTCTCTGCCCCTGCATGAGAATCTCGATTTTGAAGATTTCATTCATCCCTTTACATTACTAAAATACGAGTACATGTGTAAATTTATTATATTATATTTATTTACGTTTATATGTATACAATTGCCGTTACAATGACCAGAAGATTTTTACCCTAGTAAATGCTTGGCGACATCCCATTTCATTTTCTGCACAACTGTATTGTCACAGATGATCAAACATTGGTGCAAATAAAAAAAACATACAGTCGTGTGTCCTATTAGATATACAAACTTACAATCGCACGAACAAATATAATGAATTGGACAAGCAGTTAATTTGATGGTCATTTGTTGTTTGACAATTGCCTAACAAAACAGTGCCACTGCCGAAAGCGATCTTAATTTGATATCTTTATTGATAACCCAACTTTTGACATTCATTCTCAATATTGTTTCCGATATTAAAATTTTCGGTGACATATGCCACTGCTGCCACCGCTTGTTGAGCGTTTGGGGAGGCTGTACATTTTTAGATTACTGTTGATTAATGGCTTTACATATTAAGTATATTAATCCAATTATTTGTATTCAGTGTGCAAAGTATTTATAATAAAATCTCATTGGTTATTGTTTAAGTAGCTACAAGCACATTAATTATTTGCGAATGTAGATATGTTTGAAAAATTTATTTTATAAATGTTTACAAATAAATGTAAATATATTTAATGAAAAAAACACAAACTTTAAATTTAATGGGACTTGTTTATTATGATTCGAAAGAACATTCTTTGGTATTTATTTTTTTTTAATTATTCGTTCAAATGTTGAGTTCAATTTTCGATGTCTCACTCGAGAACTTCGACTGGTAACTGACAATCGAAGCAGCATTGGCCACATAGACTTTAGACTATACGTATCCCCACAGGAAAAAGTATACGGTTTGAGAACACACGATCTTGGTGGTCAATTGACCCATTATTCCACCGGCCTACCAACCACACCAAACTGTTGTTTTTTTCTGAATGGAATTACTCTTGAATCTCTTCCGGTTGTTCTTTGTCGCAGTTCGAGCTAGAAATGAGCCCATTCGCTGAACAAAATTTGGCTCCAAGTGTCGGATCTTCTTGGAATTTTTCAAGAGCCCATAGAGCGAAGCGAGGTGGCTTGAGAAGGTCGATTCTTTCACAAGGTGTATTTTATACGGTGTCAATTTAAGATCTCTTCGTAAAATACGCCAAATCATTCCATATGTCAGTCCGAGGTGGTGCACGGCGACGAATCGACTCTCTAAGGTCTTCATGTACACTTTCAGCTCTCTATTAGGTCGAATATCATCCAATAATGAATGCTTGGTCTCAAGATGGGTGATGATGTTACGCGAAGTACGAAGTAGTATTTTGATCGTAAATTAAAAATTAAATTCTTTACAGAACGTTAATTTTCGTAATAAAGTTAAACGAGTCCATGATGATTTACAAAACAATACTGAACAAAAATAAAATTACAGCTTGACACGACTCACGTGTGATCTGTCAAAAACAAGCTATT